ATGTCTTAGTATAGAGTTTCTTGTCTTTAGTAGTGTCATGGCTTTTCGTAATGATGCATTAATTGTAGCAATCATCAAGGCATCTTCAAATTTAAGACATCTAGAGATTGGTAGTAATGATATTGGTGATGAGGTTACTGAAGCGCTGGCCCATACATGTTATAAATTAGAATATCTCGATCTAAGTTGCTGTTCATTTGTTAGCGAATCATCAATTTGTAATGTTATTCATTCCTGCCCGAAACTCCAGCATTTTAACCTCAGCTTTTGTGAAATTTCTAATATAACTATCAAAGAAATTGCTCATTCATGTCTCAGTTTAAAATTTCTAGATTTTGAAAACTACAAAAATGTTAGCAAAAAAACTATGGGTTAGCTAAATCCAAATATTCATATAGAAAATTTTGATGAAGATTACTACTGTTCTGATTCAGAGTTTTCTAGCTCTGAAACCGAATCAAAGTCCAAATTATCTAATTTTGAGTCAGAGGATGAAGTTATCTATTATAATAATCTTTCTTCTCTGATGATTATGGACTCACCCGATAGCCTGAATGATTTTATTAGCATATTTAGTGATTTTCTTAAACAGAATGATGGTGCTAATAATAATTTTATTTCTGTATTTCTCAATCAGGAATTAGCACAATGCTCTTTGGCCGAGCAATAGTACTCTACCGATCTAACTAATCCAACACTCTGGAGTGGTGAATAGTTATTACGTCAACCCAGAATATAGCTCATCAGCTTGGAAGATTTTTTTGCTAAGCTACAATGCATGTACTCCTGTGTGACAAAAAATAGGTAGATCGCAAGACAGGTTTGATATTAATTCTGCAATCAATAAATAATTAATCTCTTAACTTTTTTCCAGAAAGTTCCAGTATAATACATATTACAAATCTTTGAATTAGCATTACTCAATGTCCCTAGTGTTAGAATGAGATAAGAATAGAAATTTGCGCCTCTAATTTGTGAATTATTCACGATAGCCAGTGAAGATCGATCAATTCTGGCCTATACTAAACAATTCGCGAATAAACTGATCACCAAATCCAAAATTAGTAGAGTCAAAGACCCGATACTTTGTATCATCTAAAATTATTTTTTTAGTCAGAAGGATATACTATAAAATAAGCTAAGTATAAGGGATTTCATTATGTAAAACTTATCTGGTTATAATTGAAATATGTCTACCACTTCTACTTCTGCACCATCTACTTCCAATAATAACATCAAAAATCTCGCATATAATATTCTAAAAACCTTCAAAGATGGTATTATTAAGGGTAAAAAAATTACAGAACTAGGGCCATGCTCCGAATGTGGCAATGATATTTTAATATTTCCTCTCAAGGCATTCACATACCTAACATACGGACACCTTTTTCATAGACTCTGTATCAAAAAAAAGCTTTTACTTACTGTTCCAAACACGTGTCCATTCCCGGGTTGTGGAAAGAATATGGAAATATTAAATCAAGCTAGTCCCCTTGGTACTGTTTCCAATTTGCCATTAACTGATCCCAAGAAGGCCTCCCAATCAACTGGAATTTCACCTTTGATGGGCGAAACATTCATCCTATCTTCACCACCTATACGGATGGAAGAGATCGAGGGTACGGCAATCCAACAAGTTGAAAGTAATTTGAGGTGCGCCAAATGTTCTAAAGATCTTTCTTCATGTCTCCCACTTATAGACTTTCTTCGGTTCTCTCCTCAACTTCAAGATCTCTTGAAACCACTTATATACTTAACCTGCAAACATATTATCCATTACAATTATCTAAGGGAGTGACCCAGTTGGCCGTTTCTATTCAAAATTGCGTAGATTGGCCAGACTTGCTAATATTGATGAAGGACAAATTCAATTGCAATTTCTTCATGAGCTTTCGCCAGCCAATCAAATAAAAGTTTGACATATGGGAATCGAAAAACCCGTAGATAAATTACTCCCAAAACTTGAAGAAATTAAAAGATTTATAGCAGAACAATTATCTGGAGCTTACCTGTATTCAAACTCAGATTCAATCTATTCAAAAAAAGCTCATGGAAAGGATAATTACTCAGGTATGACTGAAACTGAAGTTAAAAACTTGATAAAATCTATGATGACACCTGCACAAACCCAACCTATTTCTTCACAATCAGTTTCTCAGAAAATATAACCAACACAGCTATCTAAAGCTTATTATGGACCACAACCTCAGGAACACACCAGACTATATGAGATACAAATATTGGTAGATTTTTACAATAGATTACTGGAGAAGTTCCAGAATTTATTCCTATTCCAAAGCCTGATTTACCCCCAAAACTAGTAATAAAAAAGAGTAAAGTTAACTCCAGTGAAGAATTAGCTAATCGTATGGATAAGTTATTAATAAATGCAGTTGTAAATAAAGCTGTGAAAAAAGCTATTAAGTCACAACGCTGGTCTCGAAAAAAGAAAAAGAGAAGCAAGAAGTTTAAAAAGTATAAGATTAATCTCGCTACTGTAGATCCGGATTCTGATTTAGATACTTCATCCAATGCTTCTTCTAGTGATAGCTCTGACTCTGATACAAGTTCAGAAGATTCTTCCGATTCTGGAGGTGATATCACCATTAACATAGCTAAGTTAAAAAAAAAATAAAGCAAAACTTTAGCTTCAAAAAATCATTCCTTAAAAAGATATCTAAAATTTCATTGGAGAAAACTATTCATAAAATCCTCCAAAGTGAACTTAAACTAATTTTTCCTACAATATTTTTCCCAAATACTAATTCTGATTCTAATAAAGCTAATATATCAAAACAGATACCTCCTATACAGAAGAAAATAGAGCCCCAAAGTGAAGATTTACTAATTTCTAAAGATTTACCACTAGACACAGAAGAGGAAGAGTACTTTGATAGTTCTATAGAAATTGATTTCATCAAGAAGAAGGAGCCACCTACAAGTATTGCAACCATGAAGTGTAAAATTAAACATTTAAAAATCCCTGCTATGACTCTCGATTCTGGAGCAGAGCCTCCTATAGTGACTGAAAATATTGTTGATCGTATAAAGGCTAAAATTGATAAGTTTGAAACACATGATCTTAGTGGTATCACCACTGTTCCGGTTGAATCTATTGGAGTGGTTTGTGATTTACCTATTATTTTAGCCCCTGGTCTTACTATTCATGAAGATTTTGTTGTAATGAGATATAACAAGCCAACCCTAATATTTTCTAACCAGCTTTTAAAAAAATA